AGTTCATTCGGCACATGTGCAAACGTAGGATCGAAATCGACAATTTCAGGATGTCTAAAATTAGATTAGTAATACTAAGTTCTCACGTGTACCAAGCACAAGGTAATATGACTCACCTGGCGCGCTGGATTCGCGTGAGCCATTTATCGTTCCATTAAAGTTTGCGAAAATTCTTCGGTATAAAAGATATAAAAGATATAAAAGAAAGAAAAAAAGGAGCAATGAGCTTTCTCGCAACCCGTTATATACTTACGGGAAAGAGATTAGAGGAGATAAAAAAAGAGAAGAATACATGTCTCGTTCGAACGTTTTTCGGCTGTAGATGTAAGAATAGATTGCATTTCTATGAGGTTGTCACTATCAGTTTAGAAAGAGTGAAGTAGTTTGAATCACATCTCTTTCTCTAAAGTATCAAATTGAAAAGAGATGCTGATAATTCAATTTTCATTTTTGGAAAATTATTTGAACAAACAATTCAAATTCAAGAAATATAAGACGTCTAAAAGGCATTTTAGGACATCTTAAAGGCAATATTTAAATGTCTTAAAGACATTTTTATGAAAACTGTCTAAAAAACATTTAAAAGATGTCATTTGAATAAAAAATAATAAGAAACGTGTAGTCTGTCACTGTTAAATATTAAAAGATCAAATTTAAATTCTTTAAGTTGAACATAACATTTTGTAATTTTTAATAAATATATTATTTTAATACAAAACATATGGTTAAAAAAAACAACTACTTATTTCTATAGTTGAATTGCTGCTTATTGTTAGTTTTCAAAGTAAACAGCAGTCATATCAACGTATGCACTTAATAGATAATAAACTAAATGTGAGTCAAATTTAATGCATTTCTTGAGTTAAATTATTTGATTCCATTGTTTTAGTTATCAACAACATACAGTAGTGGTGATCTATAAGAATTATTAAAAATAACTCAAATTAGATATAATTTAATATTATGAATTCATTATTGTACCTAATAGGTACGTCTATTTATGCACTATACAATCGTTATTGCCTCTTATAGCGGCATCGCAATTACAAAGTGAATTCAAGTGAGCCCAAATATACAGAACTCTCTGATCTAGCCGTCCATGGAGCTGGGAATAACAGTCCTGCACGCGATCACCTTGGATTGAGGGAAGTTTGTGTTCCGGAAGACGATGAATTAGCTCCCATCGTTGCGTATTAACTGACTCCAACGACTCTCTACGGACCAGTTGACGTTTGGTCATTGAACAGACAGCATCGTCGTCGACAGCATTGCCATCGATTTTTTTTCTTTCAAAGCAATCGCCTTTCACGCTCGCTCCGTGATTTAACGTTGCGTCGCGGTACCGAGCTTTCGCGAGTGTATCATCGATGATTTTTTCTGGTTTAAAAACGTTTGCCACGAAATTTACAGATCTTGTATAAATAGTTCTCTTTCGAATGTGAACACAAAGTCTCTTTGTGCATTACTTGCGTCACATTTCGTTGGTAATGTTGTGATATTTCTTTCTTCTTCTCTTTGCAAATTTTATTTTAAATTTTATTTTATGTTAAATTTAGCAAAAGAAATGACCTCGCGATTTAGGATTTTCTCGCAGTTTTCTATCAAACGTATACTGACGAAGTCGAAAGTGTACTTGTTGACGGCATCAAACAACAATTTTTTTTATCGTGAAGTGTCTTTGTTATTAAATCCGTTATAGACAATCTGTGATTCAAGCTGGGGTTCGGGATGGAATTTTATTTTAATTTACAACTTTATAAATATAAAATTGTAAATAAAAGTAAAAAAATTTTACATCATACTATTATAAGTTTAATAATAATTATATAAGATGATTTTTAATTGAATATTATTTTATGGGAATAAAAATATACAGAATATGTAAAAAAAGAAGTAATAGTAAAAAAAAAGAATTCTATACGAACGCGTAGGATGGTCGAGCTTTATATTTTATTTTACAATAAAATATGTTTGGAGTAACTCGATATATTTATTAATATCTTTATGTTACATTTATCGTATATATTGTTATAGAAATTCGGAATTTTTTCTAGCTTTCTATTTTGTCTCAAATTTTATCTATTGACTCTATCGCCTCTATATCGTAGATCTGTTCTTTGTGGCTAAACTAGTGTGCACATAAAGGAAACAGTTATATGTATATTTGAAGTTTGACGAAAGTGAGATAGAAAGTTTCAGTTCAGTGAGCAACAAAGAACAGGCCTTATGATTGGATAACGTAAATACAAATCAACCGCAGAATACTGATGATTAGTTGATATTTCGCGAAAAAAATGTGGCTGAAGGATGTGAACGACGACGCCTTGCCAACTGCGACAGTTTTTGTGAATTCGCGACGGTGCGTCCAAAATGAGTAAGTTAATCGTCCTCCACCTTATTCGTATAGATTTCTGAAAATTCGTAAAAATTATACACGAGGATAAAATCTGACTGACATAGAATTGGAAAAAAGAAAAGAACCAAAGCGGTTGATACGAAGCCACACGAAGCGAAACGCAACGTAGGTGTGAATGTACTAGTTCACGCAAGAATGATATGTGTAATGTATAAAGTAAAAATATTGGCATCTCTTCAGATTATCATTAACTTAAACGAAATGATTCGGGAGAAGAGTGTAAAGTAATTTTTAAAGAGTTTAAGTTTTTACATTTTCAAAATCTTCAAAAAAAAATTTTTTTTTGTATTCCTTCAAATTATTATTAGGTTGGAATAAAAGGTGGTAACGTACGAGAACTTCAAAATTCAAGCAATTGCAACTTCGTTAAGAATGAACGAAATTTAAATTTAATAAAAAAGTTTCAAAGCTTAAAATCTCTACTTTCGAAAGGTTGCGCCATTTCGAGTTTCTTTGCTCATTTTTTACATATATTGAAAGCTATGCTAGACAGAATGGGAATTTTCTTCTTTATAGGATTATCACGTGCTCGTGAAAGTTTAAAGTTTTTCCTACAAAATTTCTTTTTTAATTTTCCTAAGATTTTTGAATTATTGCAGATTAAATAAAAGAAATATTTTAACTTTGTTCATATCTTCATTAAAAATCATCGTACCGCACTTCCAAAAACAGATTCTTAGATCATTACACACAAAATGACATAAGCTGGATAAAGCACTGGACTAATGGGTATTTGACAAAAATGCCTTATTGATTTATAAAAGATGTAAAGATCAAATGTGAAGATACGACATTCATTGATATGCGGCCTTAGCTATGCTTATATTGTGTGTGATGGCTCCAAAGTTGAAACTTTGCTCTATCGATTGGTAAAATTTTTAAAGTTTTTTTAAAAACATGCAGATATGATATAAATAAAGGAGCGCTACGAATTTTCGTTCCAATCCAATATATTGTAGATTACTAATTATCTAAAATATAAAAAACTTTTTATTATGCACATGTCGTTCTTTTCTTGATTAAACGTTCATATTCATACTTTATGTTTGATTGCAATAGTGCTGTAAAAAAGTCGCTGCGGAGTGCGTCTGCTGGCTCAACAATTCTGACGTATTCGAAAGTTGAACCGAAAGCGAAGATCGACTTCAAAATGTTGTATAATTTACAACACGAATGCCTCAAGCGATGATAAGTAACGTATCTTTGTGACGTTTCGACATAATTAATTCGATCGCAAAGTGTATCGAGAACAATAGCTACATGTGCATGAGTTTGCGTCTTTTTGAGAAAAATACATTTGATCTTATTCTAAATTTAATTTGGCATATTAACAGAATTTATTAATTGTAAGTTAAATTACTGAAGATGATTAAAAAATATAACATTAAAAATTAATATTAAATTAAAACTAATAAGTAAAATTTTTTCGCAATTAAGGCGATTGCACCAATGTTATTTTGACTTCAAGCGAAGCTTAAAAATCTTTCTTTCTTTTTTTAAAGCCAATAGAGAGACAGAAAGGAAGAGTTTTAAGCTACGCTTAAAATTAAACGTTGGTGTAATCGGATCGATATATCACATTTTAAAACATTACCAAAAATATAAAAATTTCATAGAGTATTCCATTATGTCTGAATATCTGTATAAAATTTGAGTACAATTCTCTTATTAATTTAAAAGTTATTTATTAAAGTTATTTAATTCTTTTTTATTAATTAATTTTTTTGTTAGTTTTGATTCGTATGTAAAATCGCGTTTTATAATATTTATTTGCAAATCTGATGAAGAAGTAAGAGTTAAATCAAATTTAAAACATGTATGATCAAACAATAATAAACATTCAAAAGTTTGGGTCCACTTATTCGTTATTATAAAAGTTATTGACCTAAAAACTGCAGAAAAATGATTATTTTGCTGCATAAAATTTATCATTATGAACCAAATTATTCGTTTTGTTTTTTGCAGTTGATTTCAGAGCACATTACTAATATCGTCACAATTTTCTGTATGATACGATTAATATTACCTTATTTCGACTGATTATTTGATTGATACTTTTAGCTGATATTGTATGGCCAAAATATCTTTAAAGACCATATTTTTTGTTATTTATTATATTGTAAAAGTTATTGAATAGTAGAGTAGACTTATATGTCTTTTTTGGATATGTACAGCAATTAATTTAGGTTAATAATAAACACAATAAGAAAAGAATAAGAAAGAATGAGAAAATATAATCTTTTGTTACTCGATTACCAACACTTCACTGGTATCGCGATTTGTTCGATACATCAAATCCGATTTATGCTGCAGTTTTTTTCGTATTTAATATTGTAACAAAATGATTATTGCTTCGAAAAGCAGTGTACGATATGAACGAGAAATTGATTTCGATATTATGAAATTGTCACAATTATCGATTCTCTATCAACAGGAAGATTTCGAAGAAAGCGAATTATTCATCGGTATCGTCGCTAATAAGTCGCTAAATTTTCCTTATTCAAATTAATCGCGCATTTCAAATTATAAATTTCAATTACCGTAAATTAACGATGTTTCTTAATTGATGAATTGTTCTTCGTAGGATCTTCGTCAATCGGAGCCTTCATCTGGAGAACATCAAGTTCTATGGCTTCGACATGGATTACACATTAGCAGGTAATTATTTCAATATATCCTTTTTTTTACTCTTGAAGGGAAATTGAGATAAACGAGACTGTATTATATGAAACATTTCAGAATACAAGTCACCACAATATGAGCAACTGGGCTTCAATCTGCTCAAGGATCGTTTAGTATCTCTAGGATATCCACAGGAAATCAAGGCCTTTGAATATGATCCCAGCTTTCCCGTTCGTGGATTATGGTTTGACACGTTACATGGAAATCTTTTGAAAGTTGACGCTTATGGGAACATTTTAGTCTGTGTCCATGGCTTCGAGTTCTTAAAACAGTAAGGGATAAAAATAACATTTTTCTTGTACAGCAAATATTATCCTTATTTCTCTATTTGTACTTGGTCTATTTCATTTCAGCTCTCAGGTCTACGAGCTTTATCCAAATAAATTTCTACAGTTAGACGAGTCTAGAGTTTATGTGCTCAATACCTTGTTCAATCTACCGGAGACTTATTTGCTGGCATGTCTGATAGATTTTTTCACGAACTCACCGCAATATACTAGAGAAAGAACCGGAGTGAAAGAAGGTGAGCTCACCATGAGCTTCAAAAGCATATTTCAGGATGTTCGAAACGCGGTAGATTGGATACATCTTCATGGTGATCTTAAATCGAAGACTATCGAGAACTTAGACGAATATGTAAAGAAGGACGAGAGGTTGCCTATGTTCCTTACGAGAATCCGAGAGAGCGGAGCAAAACTGTTTTTATTAACTAACAGTGATTACGTTTTCACGGACAAAATTATGACTTATTTGTTCGATTTTCCACACGGTGCACGGGTACGTTTTTCTTATTCACTGTTAACATTCTTAAAATTCATTGTTTTAAATAAATTAGCGAGCTATATTTACTATGTGAAAGTTAATAATTTGAAGAATTCCTTAATATTTAGAAACTAAATTTATTATGTCACTAATAAAGTTTTAATCTTTTATTCACATTTTTGACTTAGAATAGAATCTACTATATATTTATATGAAAAATTCTTTTTTTCAAAATTCTGTATTAAAAAAATAATCTCTCTCTCTTGTTAAGTGCAAGAAATACTTATATTCACGAAATATACTCATGATGAAACGTATTCTTATAAAGTACTAGGTATAAATAGAATTTTTACATATTGCTTTCATTTCAGCCTGACGAACCACATAGAAATTGGAAAACCTATTTCGATACAATTGTAGTAGACGCCAGAAAACCATTGTTTTTTGGAGAAGGGACAATATTACGACAAGTGGATACGAGAACAGGTGCTTTAAAACTTGGTACACTTAAAGGACCACTTCACACAGGTAAGAAACATTAAGTAATAAGTGGTAATTTAGTTAATTAAAAAAAAATTCTTTCTTGCTTAGTTATATAGAAGAGAGATTTTTAATCATTGGCTTTGTTTAAAATAGGGGAAGTGTATTCAGGAGGCTCGTGCGACGTGTTTACAGAGTTAATTGGTGCAAAAGGAAAAGATGTGTTATATGTTGGTGACCATATATTTGGCGATATTTTAAAGAGCAAGAAGATAAGGGGATGGAGGACATTTTTAATAGTCCCAGAATTGGTTCAAGAGTTACACGTTTGGACCGATAAATGTCAATTGTTTGCCGAATTACAAAGTCTCGATGTTATGCTCGGGGAAATGTACAAGTGCGTAGTATGATCAATAATAATAAATACATTGTATAAAATACTTGAAATATGCTGTTATTAACGTCGCATCAATTACCTTGTTTAGAAATTTAGATAGTAGTACAAAGGAAAAGCCAGATATTTCTAAGTTACGTGCGTCTATAAGAGATGTCACGCACAAAATGGACTTAGCTTACGGCATGATGGGCTCCCTATTTCGCAGCGGAAGCAGACAAACGTTTTTCAGTAGTCAAGTCGTGAGGTACGCCGATTTATACGCGGCGACCTTCTTAAATCTGATTTACTATCCTTTTTCGTATATGTTCAGAGCACCTGCTATGCTAGTAAGTTGTATGCTGTATTTGGAATATATGATTTATCCAAGTTGTATCTTATTCGTGTGAGACAGTAAATTTTTCTTATCACACTTTCAGATGCCTCATGAAAGTACAGTGGCACATGAACAAAGATTTGTTATGGAAACGCCAATGATAAGCCGTACGAGAACGTTTAAACTAGCAGATGAGGAAGAAGAACATAATCGGCCTTCTTCCGTAAGTATTTCTAAGAACATCAAGGTTATGAAGAAGAGTTCCGTTTGCCTACAAAAATGATTGCCTACAATTTCGTTTACACACAACGATATTGCAAATAGTTTACAACACGACAATATTGCAAATAATGTAGTATATATAGCACGTCTTGTAAAGGTGTAGATAAACGGGATTCTCCAGTTATAACCAGTTATTAATTGATCAAAATGGAAGTATCTCAATAATGCATTTTCCCTTTTTTTTGTTTAGAAAAATTTATATGTAGATCATTTCAATAATCAAATTCCACATGCAAGACCAGAAACACCACGTAATGTTACACATACACATGATGAAGATTGTAGTGATGAAGATAGTGATTCGCAGAAACAAGCTAATCAATTGAGAGTATCTACAAGAAACGTAAATTGCAATTAAAGTTATATTTTATAATACTCAGTGCTATTTTTTATCTTGTATAATTGAAAGTGACTGAAAAACAAAACGATTAATGTACAATATGTAGAATTTTGTTTCAAAGAATCATGTTGCATAGAATCATGACGTGTTTCAGCTGTGCTAATAATTAATATTTAGTCCCAAAGTATATATATGGTAATTTTATATTTTTTAAAAGATATCGATACGAAAGATGAAACTTGGCAATATTTGTATTAATCAATTGCTCCGAAGAGCATATTTAATATTATAGTTTTGTAGTTGGTATATTGTTATGTAATAATTAGCGCACAAATGTCCATATTATGAAACATTTAGATATTAAATTACACATAACATATGTAATAGATTTTATTAGCATATTGTATATGTTGTATATTAACTTTACATAATTATACATATATATAAAATATTGAGGCTGAGGAATATTATATTTGAATTTTGATAGTAAAAAACATCAACGACTTTAAACTTATTGTAAAATTGAATATCAGCCAGCACTTTTTATATGCAATGTAAACTTATATTGAAAAAAATAATCGAAACAATAGAAGTTGAACGAGCAAAAACCTCTAGATGAATTGTGCAATTTAGGTTAGGTGTACAGAACAAATATAAAATATAATCTTATACAATCATTCTTCGAATTAATAATTACGTAAGTACTCGATAGATAATAATTTTAATTGATTAGATAAAAATAAAATAAATAATAATTAACAGTAATTCTGATTCAAGACAGGAGATATACAACAAATAACAACAAATAATTACTAGAAAATATTAGATAAATCTTTATACTGGAAAAAAATAAGACAATATTTGACTTATTGTATAACAATATTTCATTTATTGTATACAATCAAATTATAGGATTGTCATTGTAAATTGTCATTAAATACAGAAAAAAAATCGAATACAAACGAATGTTGATCTGTTAGTAGAAATTAACAATACACACATATACAAAGTAAAAAAAATTAATCCCATAATTATATATATAGTCTGTCAAGTAAGAGCGTGATTACATGGAAAACATGGGGGCGTACATAAGCACAAGCTTCATGGAAAATGCACTTTGAAGCAGCTATCTCACAATATTCGTTAGATTTAGAAAGCCTTATCGTTAAAATACGCCATCAATTAGTCGAAAGCATGCCTCGAAAATGTGAGGCAATTATTGTCGCCGGTGAACGCATTATTAAAGTGATTGCATTTTGACTTTGATCGAGTAAAATGAATATACGTATTTAAACATTTTATTTAATGCATTTTTTAGTAAATTAACTCGATCACGCTCTTATTTGATAGACTATAAATATTTTAAGATTTAAAAGATATCCCAAATAGCAAAATGTCTGCAGTCTTCTAGCAGACTATCAGCAGGTTCGAGCAGAAAATGATGGCAGTCTGCCACTAATTGCGTCCGTATTAAGCTTGTATTACCCTTGTGTTCTGTTAACATCGCCTATCGATATAATGTGAAGGCAAATTGTTATAATATAATGTGAAGGCAATTGATAGAAACTGAGCAGATCCTGCCGACATTATCTGACGCTTGTAGATTCTTATATTTTTTTTAGCAGTCAGCAGTATTATGTACATCTAATTCTGTAATAATTTTGTTGTTATTTTATTAGCATAGTATGTAGCAGACATTTAAAAAAGTTGCTTTCTACAGACTTGACTGTCTGGCTTCCGAAAAGTTTTTTGTAAACAGCAATATATAGTCTCTATTCGTACAACTTATAAAATTGAATTATACTTCTTTGCAGGAAAATAATTTATTATTGTATATTAACAGTAACATATTGGATGCATTCAGTACTACAACCGCTCACTGAGCGCTCAGTGAGCTTTTGTATCTAATTAGCCATATTCCAATAGATCCAAAAATATAGACCAAACAAATGTAAAAACATACTAAGCTTAGTGAGCGCTTTGATTGTAGTACTGAATGCATCCATTATCATATTTTATGTATCTGTACTAAGCGTCAGGAATGCCTTAATTCTGACATTTTACTCATTTTTAACGTATTTATGTATATCTAGATTTGTTAATTTGTCCTGTCCTTTCTTAGTTCATAATATAATTGCTCATAATGTAGACTAAAAAAGGAAAATAAATATAAAATCAGAATTTTTGGAATGACAATTCTCGAAGAATTGTAACTTGCTACCTCTATATTTTGATAATACTTCATAAATATTTAAACAATAATAATGAGTAAATAAATATTTAAGTTTTTTATTTTTTGTATTTCGAATCCATTAAATTCGGGGGATTTTAGAATCATAGTTCCGGGAATTTTGATTGACATCATCTTTTATATTTTATTTATATATTTTATTTAATTATATACTTATTCTGATATAAAATTTTGTTAAATTTTAACAATTTAACAAAACATATTTTTGTTTTTTTTTATTTACATATTTTTGTTGGTAATTAAAAAAGATATAGTTTATCATGGTTAGTAAAAATCGGAATGATTGTATTGATAACTTATCATTGTCACTTATTTAATTACATGCAATAAAAAGTAAATTTTCAAAAATTGATATTGTCAGAAGAATATAATTAAGAAATAACATAAATAAAAACTCTAAACAATACAATTCTAAACTGCAATTTTATTTATTCTTTTTTTATTTATTATTCTTTTTTTTCTTCAGCATAGACACCGACAAGATACTATTAAAGATCCTCGGCATTTATGGAAATTCGCGTTTCTATCTGTTAAAATTTAAGTGAAAATTTAAGGCCCGGTTGCACCAACATTACTTTAATTTTAAGTGAAGCTTAAAACTCTCTTTGTCTCTGTCTCTTTTCGGTTTTAAAACGAAATAGAGACAGTTTTAAATTTCGCTTAAAATCAAAGTTAAGAGCAATAAACTAGTAATGAAAAGTTAAGAGTAATAAATTAGTAATGCGATACTAATTTCATAATTTATTAGTTTTGTAGACATGTACATATGTTTAAAATTTAATAATATTCGATTTTTATTTAAAACTGTGACTTTAATAATATTATATTATATATCCGAGTTTGATTTAATAGAGATAATAACTGCAGAGGAAAAATTGTAATTTTTTGGTAATATAAGATATTATATCATTAAAAGTATGTATACTTATTTATACAGCTTTTATATAATAAAAAAATCACGAATTTAATAATGTATCATCGAAATATTTATGTTAATAATCATAAATTTTTATTAATTGTCAATAACGTCATCATTTTTCAATTGTCTTGAGGCTTCCCGGCTTGATAATCATGAAAATTTGCTCGAGAAAAGAGCCAAGAATCTTTAATAGTATCTTGTTGATGGCACAGGTAAAAAGTAAGTCAAGTCTAAACATGTGTACTTTCAATACATAAAACTTCATGCAATTTGTTCTTAGAAGTTTTATGCATTTTTTGCACAAATTAAACATTTCCCAATATCATATTATTTAAAGTTTATTAAAAATTTACATTTCATTTTGATTACACTATGATAAATAAATTTCTCTTTTATTTCTTGCGGATTTCTTTTAAAGGCATAAATGATTTTGCATATCTCACTAGAAAACATCTTTTCACATATGAAATATTTTATTATAAAAATTATATTATTGATACTGTACATGTAGTGTACTAACATCCTTATGAGTAATTCAGAGAATCATAAAATGATAGAATTACCAACATTACAGGCTAAAATTTTCTGAATTGACTGTACAGACTGTAAAATCTTTTTACACAATTAAAATATGCATAAAAAAGAAAAAATATGCATAAGTCGGTCGATTTAAGAAAAAACGAAAAAAAAAAATGTTTTAATTAAGAATGTTTAAATTACATTTAGTACCTCTAATTTAACTTTTTTTCGATTTTCTCATTAAATCGATCTTGTTATTAAATCTATCTTTTTTAATGTATTGTGTATTTTAATTGTGTAATAAGACTTTATACAATCTATACAGTCAATCAATTCGGAAAACTTTCTAATTTATAAAGTTGATATTTCTATCATTTTTAGGACTTTCTTAAATAAGAAATTCAATAAACTAAAAAAATAACATTATCTTCTTCAATATCTATTTACAAAATATTAAACAAAAAAAAATTAAAACATTAATAGTGTTCACATAAATAAATCTGCCAAATATTCCTCAAATTCTTTTTCTCTTGTCTTTTCTACGTCTTCAGCTGGTTTCTCTTTCCAGATATTTGATTCATTCGTATCAGTATTCTCATTGTTTTGTATCTCAGCTGAGATGGAATCTGTCTCTGCTTTATTATCTGATTCTGGATTACTGGAAATAGTAGGTACATCATTGCTACTTCCGGAATTTGTGTCCAAACGTTTCAAAGATTTCTTCCTTTTCACCTCTCGCTTTTGTGATCGATAATTAAGTTTTATGGAACATTCTGGGCAAAGTCCTTCACATAAAAAAAAAAATATTATTTTATGAAACAATCTTATACGTATAGAATACAACTATGTTGATTTTAACATACTTAATTTTACTAGCGCATTCTTCTTTTCACCATGTTCTTCATAACCAAAATTAAGCTCCCAAGAACGCAAATCTTCCTTCTCTTTGCATGTTTTACTACCACACTCGAACTGTCCTTTGCCAACTACTACTTCTTTCTCGGTTCTCCATCTCAAAGCAATCTATATCATATAAATTAATATTAATTAACTTAATCAAAAAATAAATTTTTATAATGAATTTAAATAATCAATATAGAGATATAAATAAGAATGTTTAATACCTTATTATATTTATAATATGTAAGATCACATATGCAATATTCCTTGAACAATTTGTCATAATATTTCTTAGCTAATCTGCTACCCCAAGTATCTGGGACATCCTTTTCTTGATCCCAGAGAAACTTGTGGTTCTCTCTGATGACATCGTAATCAGTTTTGTCTCGGGACCTCGAAACGTCAAGTGCTGCTTGTTACAAAGTTTATCAAATTATAACTTTTATGTGTTACTAATTAATAATAAATCCATTGCAGGGAAATGCTGTAAACTATACTATTCTTAAATATATATATATATAAACAGCTCTCTGTGTTCCATTTTCATGTCAAGAAAACAAAATAAACATAATGAAAGTTCTTAGAATTTTCAATCAAATTGCATTTACTAGTATTGGCCAATATATTCTACTAATTACATTAATGAAAAAAAGTCATAATATATGATTTTAAACAATTCATTTAAT